AAGAACCCTTTTCCCACAGGGTCAAGTCCATGCACTACCCTTTTTCCTTTCGGTCCAGGCGCAGCTGCCTTTGGCAGAGCAAAGCACTTGCTTACGTTCCACAAACCTGGAACGATTCCCCAGAAACGAGTCATGCAAAATATGTTATGCAACCACTTCCGACAATAAACTCCATCAGTGACCGTGCGGTCAGTACCCAGTCCTGGACGAGAATCATGTTGGTTACTCTCACGCTCAGCAGTCGTACGAATAGAGAGAAGCCACAATTCTAAAGGTAAAGACCATCCAGGAACACTGCGCCGCTTGGACGCCCGCTTGAAATACCGTTCAATCTGCTCCATATCAATAATTGACTTTGCCCATGCTTGCTGCATTCGTTCATCAAACTGTTCATACGTAGGAGCAGGCCGTTTCCACAGCTGCTGCAATGCAGACATATCATCCCAACATACTCTAGAAGCTTGAAGCCCGCCATCACAGCCGGCCTGAGATAAGTGAGCAAACCATTCATCACCAGTTGGAAGCATACCATCCAGACGGCTAAAATCTCGCCTGGCTTTACCATATCGTCCGCCTGCAAGTCGAAGTGAAAGCCTGTGTACACTGGCAAGATCACGACTTCGCCACGAGGCACAGATTTCCTCAACAAGTTGTTCACGCCGTCGTTGCTGCTCAGCTTTGTATAGGGCCTTGCACTGCTTCGTCAATCGAGCTAGTTCTTCACAACATGCAACATACTCATCACTCGTCAGTCCTTCTCCCAAATTTGACCGAAGATCCCGTCGTCTAGCCAACAGATCCAACCGTCGTTGAGCAAGGGCCGATCGAGTCGATCCTGCAGCAGGCCCCTTTTTGAATACGTCAGCACCAGCGGTTCGTAGGATTTGGTCCAACCTGTCCAGCACAATATTAGGATCAAAACACGCATTCTCAATATAAGGCCACTCCTGTTCAAGCAAGGGCTCCACTCTTCGCATGAACTGCTCCCTCAGCGGACCACCTCTGATGGCCTGCATGAGTTTGTCACGATCCCACTGTACCTGCTCCATTGGCCTGCCATCAGGCCTAAGCTCAGCAGCACGTTGGTGAGCAACTGACACATGTGGCACCTTCACCTTCACCAATACAGGTATGTGGTCCCGTGGTTCAGCACATTTGATTACTTGTAATCGCCTACCCAGTCTATGAATTGGACTGGCACATGTTACTTGTTCGGTCCAGTAGAGTGGTAGGGCGACATGATCAATCATCGACGCCCCCCCTTTGGAACCATAATATGTCGGACAGAACGAACGGATTGTCGTCGGAGAGAATAATCCAAACTCATGCATGATCTCCCGAAAGCACTCTCCAGCCCCTGCTCTATGATGCTCTTTACTTCGGACACGCCCAACACTAGAAGTAGCAATATCAACCCAGTCCCCAGAGATCTTACTCGTACCCATACCGTCATTGATGTCCCCCATGAGAATAGGATGAACTCTAGCAGGTAATCCCCGAAGACACTCACGGACCCACTCCTTCATTTTTCCACAACATGTAATATACTGTTTGACCTGGGAAGCTCTGGAGGGCCTCGGGGGGAAATAAAGGACGATCACCATGTACAGGAAACCACCTCTGGATAACTCGACAGATAAACCTCGCCCTTGTAGAGGTCCAGGGGGCACAATTATTTTACGTATGTTACGTTGAGTCCATGCTTTTGGCAGCAGCAGTGAGCATCCCGCCGCACGTGTCACGAACCCTCCTGCCCTCCACCCCGCATGGACAGCTAGTCGCTCCCCTAGATGCTGTATTCGATACCCTTCACGATCGTGCTCACGCAGCTGTGTACCTGGAAGACCCACCAGGTCGAAAGCCCCCAATTCCGAGATAAGGTCACTGAGACGGTCACCACACGCATGGAGAGGGTTGTAGACCATGGCAGAGAGAATTCGAGATCCCATGGCGCTGGCCGAGGACCCCAGTCGGGAGGGAGTAACAGACCATAAGATGTGATTTCATGGCCTAGTGTGCTGCGCGGCCCTGCAAGCCGTGGCGGCAGCTGGAGAAGGAGGAGGAGGAGGAGGAGGAGGAGGAGGAGGAGGAGGGGGAGAGGAGGAGGGAGAGGAGGAGGAGGAGGGAGGAGGAGGAGGAGGGAGGAGGAGGAGGAGGGAGGAGGAGGGCCCTCGGCGTCGAACTTCGGGAGACTCGCGCACCCTTCGCTCTCCTTTGAAGGGGGCCCGCGGCGGCAGTGCAGGAGCCACTCGGGGCCCAGCTGTGGCCACTCCCAGGCAGTGATGGGCCTGCCTTCCACCACCACTGCCATGGGCAGGACAGGGAGGAGCACGGGGAGGAGGAGGAGGAGGAGGAGGAGGAGGAGGAGGAGGAGGAGGAGGAGGAGGAGGAGGAGGAGGGGGAGGAGGAGGGGGAGGGAGGAGGGGGAGGAGGAGGAGGAGGAGGAGGAGGAGGAGGAGGAGGATGGGGGAGGAGGAGGAGGAGGAGGAGGAGGAGGAGGAGGAGGAGGAGGAGGAGGACCTCCCCATCCTCCTCTCTCCCCCGTCCTACTGATGGTAGTGTTGGTGGAAAACTGGCCCATCATGCAGTGCTCAATCTCCCCGCGTTTATTCGGGGTGGTACTGATGTCACGATGCGATCCCAGACATGCTCGCGTCGTCAAAACATCGGGACAGAACATGTTTGCCAATTTTCGGCCCTCGCCGGGCGTCGGGACCGCAAAAACAACGACGCAGGAGGAAATACCGGTCCCGGGGAAAGGGTAGGGACTTCCAGGGACGCCGTCCTGAAAAATCAATACGTCGCATGTCTGGGATTGGCTCAGGATGCGTTCCAGGATTTCAAGAGTTTACGGCGGCCCTCGCTTTTGGAGCCCGCGCGGACCAACAAGAAACGCCATCTCGGACAGCTGCGTCCTAGAGCTCGGAGCCGTTTGCTCTCGTGGTCGCCGTGGCCGTGGCCGTGGTCGTCGGGCCCCTGACCCTGGGCGTCGGCCCAGACCCTAGAGCCGTTTAGTTTCTTGGCAGCCGTGGCCGTGGCCACGTTTCGTCGGGCCCTTGGCCCTGGCCCCCAGGCTTCGCCCCAGCCCCTGCAGTCCTGGAATCTCGTGGTCGCCGTGGCCTTGGCCGTGGTCGTCGGGCCCTAGCCCCTGGAGCACTTCTTTTCGTGGTCGCCGTGGTCGTGGCCGTGGTCGTCGGGCCCCTGGCCTGTTCCCCTGGGCCTCGGCCCAGCCCCCCGGAGCCCTTTACTTTCGTGGTCACCGTGGCCGTGGCCTTGGTCGTCGGGCCCCTGGCCCTGGCCCGAGGGCGCTGCCGCAGCTCCTGGAGCGCTGTACTCTCTCTCGCGCAGCAGTGTTCTACAGCTCGGACATCCTCATGGTCGTTCGCTCTTTCGTTCGCCGTTCGTTCGTGGTCCCCCTCCTCCCCCACCCGACCCTGGCCTGCCTCATCTCGGGCCGTGGCTTCCCCCTGGTCCAGGGCCCTTGGCCCGCTTCCCCATCGGACCGCGGCCCTCTGCCGCTCTGAGGCCGCGGGGCCCCCCTCCCCTGGCCCAGGGCCACGCGACGCTCCTCTGGTGGCTCAGGCCACACTGGGTGCCCCGCTTGAATACCCTTCAATGTCGCTCGCTGGGCGTTCTTGTCGAGGTCCCCCCCTCCGCCCCCGCCCCAGGCCATGCCTCGTCCAAGGCCCCTGGCCTGCTCGACCATCCGGCCGTGGCCCTCTGCCCCCCCCCCCCTCGAGCCCGGGAAAGCCCCCTCGGGCCGCGGCCCTCTGCCCCCTCTCTCAGGCCGTGGCCCTCTCCTGCCTGGTCCAGGGCCACGCGACCGCCCCTCCCCTCCCCCCCCTGGCTCTCGCCACCCCCACGTGCCCCCTCGCCTCTTTGCTGTCGTTGCCTCTTCGTTCCTGGTCGTTCGTCCCCCGCCCTCTCCCCCTCCACTGGCCTACCCCTGGCCCGCGCTCCGGCCCGCGCTCCGGCCCCACCGCCCCCTCCTCTGGCCCCCTTCCCCTGGCCTACCCCTGGCCGTCGCCCCAGTTCCCATGCTCCCCCCCTGGCCCACCCTGGCCCCTTCGCCCCCCCTGGCCCCCTCCCCTGGCCATCGCCCCATGCTCCCGTGTTCGCCCTGACCCCTCGTTGTTCGTTCAGTCGTGGCCTGCCTCCTCGTCCTCTGACCGCTGGCCCTCGCTCCAGCCCGCTCGCTCCCCCTGGCCCGCTCGCCACCTAATCTCGGAAGCTGGGCGAGGGCTGCTAAAACCGAGGCTGCTAAAAATCGGCTCTCCCCGAAGGAAAAAACAACTTCCCGGAAGGAGGCGCGGCACGCGAAACAGTCAACGGGCTTCTTCCCCGAAGGACGAAGACAACTTCCCAGAGGTCGATTTTGGCAGCCACGCATTTGGCAGCCCTTGCCCGGCTTCCGATAATCGAGCAGGAGCCAGAGAACGCGTGCTACTTGTTGGACACCCTGGGGATCTTGGGAATCTTGGAACGAAGCATCATCATGAGTTCTTGTTCCGTTGAGTATCGCCCCATTTTCCCTGACGTCCGTCAATCTGACCTCTCAATCCAAGACCTGATCCCGTCCCCAGGGATGGTCTTGCGTCCCGGACCCATTCCTGATGGCCGCGGGGCCCGACAAGACGAGCCCCCGAGGGCCGAACGGGAAGGAAAAAGCGCCTGCTCCAAAGTAATACCGCTATGTCGGGCGTGTCCCCCTACAGGGGGAATTTTCGACGGTAATTTAAACATGCCCCAAAAAGACCCCAATAAGGTACAAAAATATCCAAAACATAGTACCCAGACTATGTTTGAACTATGTTTTGATTATCTTGGGGGTACTTCTGGTTTTTCGTCGGAAAATCCCTCTTAATAATCCGCACCGCCCCCCAAAAAACCTTGTCCTCCGTGCCTTCTTATAACCCGTGCCTCCTCGTCGAGCAAAATCCCCCTGGGGGAGGACAGGCCCGATACCGTCGGAGATATGGGTCGCCGCCCGCCCGGGCCGCCTGAGGCGCTTCAGCTTCGCCTCCCCGGCCTCGATGCTGCCCGCGAGCTGCTCCCACGCCCTCCTCGCAGCGAGCTGGTTGTGAAGAAGGGGGCGCAAGCACGGAGCTTCCCCCCGAGACGACCTCGACCGCTGTGCGAAGCAAACGGTCGCCAGGCAAACTGGGAACACCACGCGGGCCGACCTGCGAGAAGCGAGCTCGCGCACCTGAGCCGTAGCCTGAAAAGAGCGAGCGTGACGCATGCAGCACAACGCACAAGGACACACTAATAATTGCTACATTTTCTCCTCGGAGGCGTGCTTTTGATATGAGCATACAGTACAACCGTCTTGCAGTATATCGTTTCCTGAGCGGTACGGCCAGAGAGCGCCCGTCATGGAGCTTATACTATAAGTTGGCGGCGCGCAGAGGGGGGTATGGGGGAGGGGGGAAGGCTTCTTAGAAGGAGGCTGCTTCTTAGACGGCGCCGGCTTACACTCGTAGACAAGGCCCGCGCTTTTTAAGCAGCAGGGGTGCTTCTAAGAAGCCTTCACCTCTCCCCTATACCCCCCCGTGCGCGCCGCCAAGTAAGATTTCTGGGCGCGTACGCGCGCCGCCCCTGGAGGGGCGACGCACACATTCTGGCCTCCCCAGATGGGGTCCGAGTAGATGAGGTCGGAGGATCGCGCCGCATCGCCGATGCATCGCCGACGCGGCTCGATGCGGAGCCCCATTTGCTTCACGTCGACGTCGCCGATGCATCGCCGACGTCGCCGACGCATCGCCGACGTCGTCGGCGATACACCGCACATCGCTGACGTATCAGCGATGCGGCGCGGTCCTCCGACCCAATCTGCCCCGATCCCATCTAGGAGGCCTCTGCACATAGTATGCGGGACGGGAGAATGACCACAGCCACTGCTTCTTGTTTGCGCCGCCCTCCAGCCGGCCGAAAAAGAAGTAGCGGTTGTGGTCATCTCCCTGGTGCCAAGCTCAACGAAGATGACCACAACCGCTGCTCTCTTTCTGCGGGCTGGAGGGTGGCAGCACAAGGAAAGCAGTGGCCGTGGTCGTTTTCACGCCCCGTACAGTATTAGTACGTCGGGGCGACGCCGATGCGGGAGCAGAGGAAGAGGCAAGGAGAGAGCGCCGCCCTCCTCGCAGCGGGAATGACGGCCCCCACCACCACGTCCTGCGCCAGCTCCGAGCCCTCCTGCCTGCTCCGCCTGTCGGGCGCGGCCAAGAAGGGGGGGGTCCAAGAGGGGGGGGGTGCAAATCATGACCGGCGGCATGTGCGCGGCCCAGCGGGGGGGCCAGGGACGTAAAGAAATAAGAAGAGGCGCCATGAAATCCGGGGAACTATCGTGGCCCACGCCATGATATCCCCCCCCCCTAGTCATCACCCCCCTCTTTTCCGCCCCCGAGCCTGGCCGCCTCCCTCCATATGCTGGCGAACACGTCGCTGCCGCGGAGGGAGTGCAGCCTTCGCGTAAGGGATCGACTACAGAATAGATCTGCCCCAACATTGTTTTTCTCACCGACTCTACACAAATATACGTAGCATGTTGGTAGGTCAACGGGTCAATCTTTGTGTTTTTCCATAGGGTCGATTGCAAAACAACAATTTTGGGGTACGTCGATTCTGTACTAGATTCCCTACTCGAAGCCTAGATGAGAGGGGCTTGTGCATACCTACCGACCCTGGGCTGGTCCATCCTGGGCCCAAGATCTGTGCAAACGCCATCCTGGCGCGGCCAGGGACCCAGACATGCGACGCCCTGATTTTTTCGGGACGGCGCCCCCTGGAAGCCCCGACCCTTTCCCCGGGACCGGTTTCTCGTCCTGAGTCGCTTGTTGGCGGCCCCGAGGCCCGGCGAGGGCCCCCCGAGGCCGAAAATGGCCAAACACCTCCCGTCCTGACTTTGTAACGACGCGGACATGTCTGGGGAGGCACGTGCACCGATCCCCGGCCCAGGGGCCTGGCCAGACCCGGTGCGGGAAAACCGCACACTTGCCCACCACCCGGCAGCCACGGCAGGTGGGGCCGCACGGGCAGGCCCGCGAACTTGGAGGCCGCGGCCTGCAGCTCCAGGGCGGCGTACGAGGAGCCCACGCTCTCGGCGAGCTCGTCCAGCTTGCCAGCCGCGATGCCGGCGGAGGGGCAGAACAGCTTCACGTACACCTGCAGCTGGTCGAACTCCTCTCAGGAGGGGAAAAAGCACACAGACACAATTAATCGTGCACTCCCACGAAAATATGGGAAGTGGGGGGGAAGACAGAAATTCGGAAAATATACGAAAATATTGGGAATCCTTTTATTTGTGTATTTATGTGTGTGTCCCAGGGCCCCTTCATCCTCGTCGAACTTGCGGAGCCTCGCGGCGCTCTCGGCGATGCAGCCTGGCCGGAGCTTCGCGACCCGGGAGGCCAGGGCCTCGTAGGCCTGCTGGTGGCCGAGGATCGTGTGGAGCGCGCTCAGCGGGATGGTGCCCTTCTGCAGCTGCTGTGCGGACGTGATGAGCGCCTTGGGGTAAGCAGACAGAGATAACTCCCCGCACAGTGCTCCTCGGGGCTGTCCCATAGGGTGCGTTCTGGCGGGGGCTGCGAGGCGACGCCGGCGGCCGCGGCGACGCGGGCTCTTCCAAGGCAGGTTCAGAAACGAAACAATTGAGGAGGCAGAGCGGGGTGTCTGCCATCATCGGCACACACGTTTCTTCCTCTGCCTTGGGAGCCCAAGAGAGCGAACTCGAGGACCTGGCATCGGCATTGGCATCGGCGTGCGTGTGTGTGTGTGTTTCTGTGTGTGTGCGTGTGTGTGTGTGTGTGTGTGTGTGTGTGCGTGTGTTTTGTGTGCGTGCATTTTTGCGGTGCGTGTCTCTGTGTGTGTGTGCGTTTGTGTATGTGTGTGTGTGCGTGTGCGTGTGCGTGTGCGTGTGCGTGTGCGTGTGCGTGTGTGTGTGTGTGTGTGTGTGTGTGCGTGGGGGGGAGCCTTCTGTCCTGTCCCCTTTTCCTTGCATTGTGGCGCAATTCGCTACAATGGTGCCCCCGTTGAGCTAGCTCTTCCACCAGCGCAGTTACTTTGCCTAGCCGCAGACGCAAAACAAGTGTGTGTGTGTGTGTTTGTGTGTATGTGTGCCTGTCCCACCTCCCCTGTCGCCTCGTCGCCGCCGTCTGGCTGCAGTGGCGCACCCTCTTGCCTGCCACGCTGGACTGCTCCGTCCGCGCTGCTCATGCTCGGGATTGCGCATGGCATGGTCGATCATGTTGGGATCCCTGCCCCTTCTGCTGAGGGGCTGGCCGCGCGCGCTCCCGCCGCTTGGAGACTGACGCCGCCTCGTCGCTGCCCGCGGGGCCGCGAACGCCAAAAAGTGGCAAGTGTGTCTGAGAGCGTGAGAGCTGATGTGAGTGTGAGTGTGCACGTCTGCTTTGCCCACCCGACAGGTGGGGGGTCGCGAGTTTTCGAGAAAAGACCTTCCGACCCGTCCACCCCGCATACCGCGGCCGCCAGATCCCCAGGTCTCCCGAGTGTCCACGATTCCCGCCTCGCGCCACTCTGCATACCGCTCCGCCAGACCCCCAAGTCTCCCGAGTGTCCCCGACTGTCCAGCCTCGCGCAGACTCGCCCACTCTGCATACCGCGGCCGCCAAATCCCCAAGTCCCCCGAGTGTCCCCGAGAGTCCCTCCTCGCGCCACTCTGCGAACCGCGGCCGATAGATCCCCAGGTCTCCCGAGTCTCCCCGGGTGTCCCGCCTCGCGCCGACAAGTCATAACATGACAGAGCGGCATTCTAAAATAGCAAAGCATCTTACAGCACAACACTATAACCTATGACCGAACAGAGCATGGCGCCGCACCACCTAACCAAACATATCCGAGCGCAGCATGCCATATCACGACATAACATATCGTGACATAACGCACCATGACAGAGCAGTGCATACCATAGCGTAGCATCATAGCACAGTCAACATATAACATGACACAGTACATATACCATTTCACAACAACGTAGCAGAACTGAGCGTACCAAAGCAAAGCATGCCACAGCCTGACAGGAGATGACAAATCATAGCATAGCACGGTACAGCATAACAAATCATGATATGTCATACCGACGCGTAAAAACATACTATACCAGAGAACATCATGTCACAACAGGGCATGAACCATTATACCAGACCAGTACTTTCAGGGGACACCATACCATGCCACAGCATCACATCAATGATAACATGAACGATCCACTCGTACCACAGATGGCAAATCATAAGACGACAGAGTGTGACATCAGATGCTGCACCATACCAAAGCCTAACACAGCAGCATGCCATAAGCTATGCCATCAAGCATAATAAAACCAGTTCATATCATCAACACACATCTCATAACATAGCACAACACCAAGAACATGCAATGGTAGAACGCGGCATAACGCACCATGCCATCCTATAACGTAATACCTCAAAATGCCGAAACCTGACAACGCATACGATGCCATGGCATGCCAGAAAATGGCATACCAGGACACGTCACAACAACGCATGCAATGACATCATGGAGCATATATAGCAAACCATAACACCACGCATCATAACACATAAAGACATATCATACCAGAACATAGCGACAACTAATAGAGCACACCATTCCACACACTAGCACATCATAACATTGCACATAATCACAGCATTCCATAACATGACAAGCGTTCAATCACACCATGATGTTCTGTACTACAATAAAATCAAGCAACACGTGCGCGCCAAGGTCAGGCTGGCCACAGAAGCAAACAGGCGCAACAACGAACGATCGGACGACGTTATTGATCGTGACAGACGTCACGCCAGCCCACTGAGAACAGAACAAGGGAAATATATCACATCATAACAGGATATTGCCCAATCAACGTACTATAACAAATCTAATACGCCATACTCAGCATAACATAGCAGACTTATTGTACGAATGCTACCCCAACGTCAATGATTTAGATCAGCCATGATTGGCTGAAACTCCGTGGGATACACCATCACGAACTGAGCATACCCTAAGAAGCGTCCCGCGTAGCCTTACAGACCATACGCATCATGTCACAATGTGGTGCCACAGAGCAGAGCATATCATATATGAAAACAGCATACAATGACAGAGGTGAGCAAAACAAAGCGTATTGTAACAGACGAGAGCCACAAACTTGAAGAGGAACTTCATACCATAATAGGCCGTAACATACCATAATCAAACGCGACGTGTGCGCCGCGGTCAGCCCAGCCACAGGTGCAAACAGGCGCAGCAACGACCGATCGGATGACGTATTTAAAGTTACAGGCGTCAAGGTGTCACGCCAGCCCGTCGACAATATAACACATCATGTTGTAGCAAAGCAGGACAACGCCTTATCGAGCGCAACATAAATTAACATTGCTAAATTCAGCAAAGACAGATTAAGGGCACAGTGTCAAACACAGCATCCGCGCCTGGCCACAGGAAAGAACAGGCGCGGCAACGACCGATCAGACGACATATCCAACGCGACAGGCGTCCCGGCGTCACGCGAACCCGTCGAGACCAGAACAGAAACAAACATATGTGCATATAACTGAACCGAACTTGACAGAACGTGATCGAGTATACTTCAGGAGAGGCCGAGTACTGGCGGCCTATCATACGCGACATGCGCGCCAAACCCAGGAGCAACAACGACCGATTAGAAGACATACCAAACGTGAAAGACGTCACGACGTCACGCCGGCCCGTCCACAACATAACATGACATAGCACAATGCCATATACTACACTGAGGCATAAGCGAACCGAACATGCTATTGCACAGTGTCACGTGTACGCCAACCTCCACTTCACGGCCACGTCAAACGCGACATGCGCCCGTCGTCAGAAGAGGACGGGGCGTCCGGAGCAGGAGGAGGAAGGAGAGATCCGCCTCACCTCCTCTTCCTCCTCCTTCGTCGTCCACCTCCTCTTCGTGCTGCTGCTGCTGCTGCTGCTCCTCCCCTTCCTCGTTTCACAGGCTGCATATTGCCTTCGAACAAGTCTTGGGGTCTCGCGAGACGCGTCTTGGGAGCTGCTTTGTCGATCCAGGGACTTGTTTCGGTGTCTTTCGTCAACGCCCCTGGGGTTGCTGGAATTCCACCAGCCCTCTGGGCGTCGGTGGTTTAGGGAGTTTCCTCTTCCACCCCTCCTTTTTCCCCTTCGGGGAGGGGTTTATCCCTCCCCCTACCCCCTCCCCATGGACCTGCACGGGGGGGTTCGCGAGTCGTCGGAGCGACCAAAACGGCCTTGGCGAGGAAACCGAAATCATGGATTGTACTAGTATCTTGGTCCCATTTTGGCCTCCCGAGGGTGTGTGTGTGTGTGTGATTAGTAACCCCCCTTCCTGTAATCGATCTCACTCAGGATGGCCCAACGATGGCCCCCAAGGCTCCCAGGGGTGTCCGAAGAGGGCCCCAAGAGGTGGCCAGGAAGCCCCAAGAGGCCCCCAGGATGCCCCGAGGAGGCCCCCAAAAGAGCCCCAAGAGGCCCTAAGAGACCCCCCAGAGGCACCCAAGATGCTCCAAGAGGCCTCGGCGAGAATGCCAACTCATTGATTTTACAGAAAGGTTTGAGCCACATGTTGGCCTCTTGGGGGAGGCACTGATTAAGATTACTCCAAGAGCGCCTGGGAAGAGCCCAAAATGACCTCCAAGATGGCTCAAGATATCCCAAGATGTCTCATACTGGCTTCCTCTGTGTGCTGCCCACTTCCCTGATCGAGGCAATTCCTCTGGGCATCTTTTCTGGATGGGCTGGTGGGGATTCTTTCTTCTTTTTCTTTACAGCCGCAGGCGGAAGCGCCAGCGGCGGGAGGTCGCGGGCGGGCTACGGCCGCGACTAAATTGCCGAGCGCGCGCGGGGGCCGCGGATCAGGCGGCGGGGGGGGGCAGCGCCCAGGGCGGCAGAGCCGACGTGCAATCCAGGGAATCTGAGACAGCCCCTGAATGGGCATGCAACGGTGCATCCAGGGAGCCTGAGGACAGGCACCGAGGACCAAGCGCAGCCAAAATGGCGCGAGAGGCGTTCCCAGAAGTCCAGATGCGAACAGAAGGAACGTTTCCGAGGACATCGATCCAGGGAGTCTGACGGGTAACACAGACTGACTGGGGACGTAAGGGCTGGTGGGGATTCGCGAAGCGTCAACAATTTCAGAAAATTGAAGGGGCCCTGGGACACACAAATACATACACACAAGTAACAAGGTTCCCCATATGTTCATATATTTTCTGAGCTTTTTTTCTTCCCCCCACTTCCAATATTTTCTTATATTTTCTGGGGAATCGACGCGTAACTGTGTCTGTATGCTTCTTTCCCTCCTGAAAAATATCAACTTGCGACCTGGCCTGGCCGCCGCGCTGGCTGAGACCGCCGGGCCCTGCGCACATCGTTCTGGTATGCGCGCAAACCCTTGGGAACAAACGCCGAAGGTTTCGGTCGGGCTCGCTCGAAGCAAGATGTGTTCTGTGTGTGTGTTCCTCCGCGGAGGACTCTCTCCGCCTCGTCGCTGCGCGCGAGGCCGCGACCTCCAAACGTGCGTGCGTGCGTGCGTGCGTGCGTGCGTGCGTGCGTGCGTGCGTGCGTGCGTGCGTGCGTGCGTGCGTGCGTGTGTGTGTGTGTGTGTGTGTGTGTGTGCGTGCGTGCGTGCGTGCGTGCGTGTGTGTGTGTGTGTGTGTGTGCGTGCGTGCGTGCGTGCGTGCGTGCGTGCGTGCGTGCGTGCGTGCGTGCGTGCGTGTGTGTGCGTGTGTGTGTGCGTGTGTGTGCGCGTTGGCTCCCCTCGGATCGCCTGCTGCCCGGCGCGCTGCGTGGCCCCCAGCGGGCAGTCCCGCAGCCCGCGGGCCTCGGACCACGGCTTGGCCAGGAGCCGCGACCACACGGGCTCGTTGACGACGATCCTCTCGAGGTCGCTCCTCTCGGCGTCGCCGGTCCCCTGGAGCCGCCGGCGATCGGGGGGGCCCGCCGCGGGCCGTGCTGTCGGAGCCTTCTGTACGTGTCTTCCGCGCGCTCTTCGGGAGGCGTTCTCGGCTCGGACGTCTGCGGCCCCAGACCCCGGACGCCACGACTTCTTCATCACGTCGGCCCCCAAGAAAGTCTCGACGCACTTCCCGGTGTCATTTTTCGTATCCCGAGTGGGCGCTCGACGGTCCCGGGGCCCAGCGAGAGGCCCGAGAAGCGCAAAACAACCAGAAACCATACCCTAATCCTAAGAATTAGGAGCTTATAAACATTTCAAATCCTACAGTTCCTTAAACACCTCCTTCCGCGGTCCCTTATGCCGCCCCCCACTTTGGCGCACCCCTCACGCAGATCCTTGGCCTCGGAGCGCCAGGAATGGCGTTCTGGGAGGATCTGCAAAACCCAGGGCGCACCCCTCACGCAGATCCTTGCCCTCGGAGTGCCAAGAACGCAACCCTCACGCAGATCCCGCGCGCTTCGTGGCAAGCCGGGGTATGCATCGCCAAGGCGTCGGTAAGTTGTTGCGGGGAGCTACTCGTTTTTGTCGCTGCGCGTGCGCGCGTCGCATCGCCCTTGCATCGGCCTTCGCGCACCGTGCCGCAGTGCTAGGGATGCGAACTGGGGATCCGTTTCCTGGAGGCAACAAGCTATCCCGCGCTCGTTGCGCAGCCACTCCATGCAATCTCACCGCCGCTGGGCGGCGTCCCTGCGACGCACAGGGGGTCGCGTAAATGGATGTTGTTCTTCAAATCGCGTCGTCGCGCGCAAGTGCCGCATCGCCGTTGCAGCGATTTTCCAAAAGACTTTGCGCGACTGTCGTCGTCGTCGTTTTGAAATCAACATCGTCGTTTTCGTCATCGTTATCGTCGTCGTCGTTTTGAGATCAATATGTCTTGGGTCATGGGAGGGTGGGACAGGTCCAACAGGCTTCAAGTTTGGGCTAGTGGACCCTAAACCCTAAACCCTGAACGCTGCTCGGAGCCTTCGAGGTGCATTCGGTGGTCCTCGGAGGCCTCCCCAAAAAGCTGCGCGGGCCTGGGCCAGCGAGAGATGTTTCTATCTATCACCTGCGTCTTGGACTTCCTTGGAAGGGGCGCCCAGAGGCCAAGGCACCGTGGACATGTATAGCCTCTCTATAGGGGGCCGTAATCTCGTCCATATACCCACTGCGCCTCTGGTCTCCCGGGACGGGCACCCCGAACTCCAAGACGCAGCGGATGTGGATACAAATCTTGCCCACACCTGTCTGGTCTCAACCCCGATCTGCTTCTTACAGAATCCTGGGGCCCGAGAAAGGCCCCCTGAGGCGCCGAGAATGGCCGCAAAACCTTCCCGAATCCAGAACCTCAAACCTTTGAGCAGGGACCGACCGTCCTGGCATTCCTATAGGCCTACCACGATCTATTTTCAGAGCAAAGGCATCTTCTAAGAACAAGTACAATGTTCTCAGGACATGGAGCCGACGTGACAAAACGAGACAGTCTCAGCCAGGGATGCTCTGAGACAACTCGCGCAAGCCACACGAGGCTCTCAGAACACTCTGGTGGGCCTATATATAGAGGCCTCCAAGGTGGTGTCCGAGTAGGAGGGGGTCGGAGGATCGTGCCGCATCGCCAACGCATCGGCGCTACATCGCCGATGCATCAGCGATGCGCCGGCGATCATCGGCGACGTCGGCGACGTATCGGCAACGCCAGCGTGGAACAAATCGGGCTCCACATCGGGCCGCATCGCCGCTGCATCGCCGATGCGGCGCGAACCTCCGACCTCCTCTACTCCGCCCCCATCTAGAAGGCCTAGATTCACAGAGAGGGATAGGAGGAGGAAGAAGAGGAGGAGGACGAGGGAGGAGGAGGGGGAGGGGGAGGGGGAGAAGGGGAGGGGAGGGGGGAGGAGGAGGAGGAGGAGGAGGAGGAGGAGGAGGAGGAGGAGGAGGAGGAGGAGGAGGAGGAGGAGGAGGAGGAGGACGAGGACGAGGACGAGGAGGAGGAGGACGAGGAGGAGGAGGAGGAGGAGGAGGAGAAGGAGGAGAAGGCCTACAGAGCATGGGCAGGCCGGGGCGCTCCGCCGCTGCTTGCGACGCCTGCCCGCCCTTCCCGCGGGCCCGAGCCAGTGCTGGGCCGCCCGACGCGCCCCACACGGCCCCAACCTGCCGGGGCCCACCGCGGGCTGGGCCCTCGGCAGGGGGGCACCTGCGGCCGCCCCCCCCCCCCCCCCCCCCATTTGGACGCCCGAGATGGGTACGGAAAAAAATGGGCACAATGCCCAACACCAACCGTTGCCCCAAACCAGCAGCGGCCGCTGTTGGGCAGGCGGCCTTCTGTCTCGAATGGGCACAGGCCGCGGCGGCGAGGACAGCGAGCCCTGTTCAAAATGGACGGGAACTGCTGTTGGGCAGTGTACCCGTGCTTTCCGCACCCAGTTCGGGCGTCCAGGCCCCAGAACGCGTGGGGGCGGGGGTGGGGTCCGCACGTGGCCCCCTCCTCGGGCCCGGACGTGCACGCGACGCCCTGGTGGTTTCAGGGCCGCGCCCCTGGAAATCCCGACCCCTTCCCCAGGGACCGGGTTTTCCGTCCCGAGCCGCTCTGTGACGGCCCCGAGGCCAGGCGAGGGCCCCCCTGGGGCCAAACATGGCCAAACACCTCCCGTCCGGACTTTTGAACGACGCGATCCTTGTCTGGGGAGGCATGTGCACCGATCCCCGGCCCAGGGGCCTGGCCAGACTCGGTGCGGGAATACCACACACTTGCCCACCACCCTGCAGCCACCGCAGGTGGGGCCGCACGGGCAGGCCCGCGAACTTGGAGGTCGCGGCCTGCAGCTCCAGGGCGGCGTCCCTAGAAATCGCGACCCTTTCCCCGGGACCGGTTTTTCGTCCCGGATCGCTTTTTGACGGCCCCGAGGTCCGGCGAGGGCCCCATGGGGCCGAACATGGCCAAACACCTCCCGCCCCGTTTTTTTTGCGACGCGCTCCTTGTCTGGGGAGGCTTCCGAGCGCCCCCGGTGCGGTCCCCGGAGGCCGCCGGAGGCCGCCCCGAGGGGAGGCGGAGGCGGCAGAGGGAGGGCGCCAGGAGCAGCCGAGCCGGCCCTCCCCGGGGCAAGCGGAGCGTCGTCGCAGACGTCGTCGTCGTCGTCGCCGTCGCCGTCGCCGTCGCAGTCGTCGTCGTCGTGGTCGTCGTCGTCGTCGTCGTCGTCGTCGTCGTCGTCGTCATTGTCGTCGTCGTCGTCGTCGTCGTCGTCGTCGTCGTCGTCGCCGTCGCCTTCAACACCGTCGCCACCGCGCCCGAGGCCTCTGTGGGGCAGCGTGGCCAAGCATCGGATCGGAGAGTGGAGCCCGCCATCGAGAGACACCGAGACGGCTGGGAGCGGAAAGCAGATCGGAGGGCATCGGAATCGACGCCCGCCGTGGGGTCCCGCGAGAGAGAATCCAAGCACACTGCAGCCTCGTACGAGAAGAGATCTCCTCACTGGGAATCTCGGAGCACATGCTTCGTCCGTCTTCCCTGGCCCCCGCGGGTTGTGACAAATCACGAGGGGAGGCTTTTCGCTATATTCGGCCTCTGGGGGCCCTTCCCGGGCCTCAGGACCGTCAAAAACCGGCTCAGGATGAAAAACCGGTCCCAGGGGAAGGGGTCCAGACCTCGGGGGGTCGACGCTGTGAACAAAAATCGCGACGCCGGGGGACTGGGTTTGAAGGCCCTGAGGCGCCCCCGAGCTCTTGTGGGTCCCTGAGGGCATCGGGGGACCAGACACTGCGGCGAAGCACCTGCGGACAGGCCGGTGTCCTTTGTGTGACGTGCGTGCGGTGCACCAGGTCGCCTGGTCGACCAAGGAGTTCGGTGTATGGACGCTTCAGCTTCTCAAATCGCGGGAGGAGGAGGAGGAGGAGGAGGAGGAGGAAGGAGGAGGAGGAGGAGGAGGAAGGAGGAGGAAGAGGAGGATTGAGGAGGAGAACAGAGGAGGCCTCCGCCGACCAAGCGGCGTAGCGTGTGCGCCGAGCCCCTGAGAGTTGCAGGGCGGGCGGGTGCCTGGAGGAGCCGCATCAGCTGGTCGACGGCGTGGAAGTGGAGCGGCGTCGGCGTCTCGAACAGCAGCTGCAGCACCTCCTGGAGGGAGGGCGGGCGAGGGGCGAGGCACGGGGGCAGAAGGGACGGATCCATGAGGGGGTAAGGGGAATATCGATATATACATACACATAGATGTATGTATGTCTGTCTGTCTGTCTGTCTGTCTGTCTGTCTGTCTGTCTGTCTGTCTGTCTGTCTGTCTGCATGCATGCATGCATGCATGCATGCATGCATGCATGCATGCATGCATGTATGTATAGATGTATGTATGTACATCTACACATATATATATATATATAGAGAGAGAGATACTTCGTTTTTCGGCTGTCTGGGAGAGAGCCCAGGCAGCCGAGAAAATACTGAGTGCCACCAGGGCAGACCGCAGAGAGAGAGACTGGCACCGAGACGACCTCCGGGGCCACGCCATGCCTCAGAGGTCGGTCCCCGGACCCTGGACGCCTTCAGACGTTCCCGTGGCGCTGGAGGGCAGGGAGGGAGAGGAGGAAGCGAAGGGGAGTCCAGGCAGATTCCCCTCCGCCCACGCGCGCGCCCTCCACCTCTGAAGGGGCCCTGGGTCACCCAAATAGATACACACATATAACAATATTCCCCATATTTTCCCATATGTTCTGGGTGTTTGTCTTCCCCACCACTTCCCATAGTTTCCCATATGTTCTGGGGAATGGACGATCAATTGTGCCTGTGTGTTTTTGTTCCCCTCCTGAACCTCCTCGCCCCGCCGGGAGGGCAAGGAGAGAGGCGGCCGCAGCGGCTCTCCTCGGAGTGCTCGTCCTCGCTCGCGCTGCAGGCGTCCCGGATCGCCTCTTGTTGGGGGGCGAGGGAGACGATGGGAGCGGCCACGGAGGAGGAGGGGGAGGAGGAGAGGAGGAGGAGGAGGAGGAGGAGGAGGGGGAGGAGGAGGAGGAGGAGGAGGAGGAGGAGGAGGAGGAGGGCGCCATCGACAGGGAAGGTGAGGGCCACGAGGTCCGCCGGCTCGACGCCCGCGCCGCCCGCGCCCGCCCCCTCACTCTTATCCGCAATTGCGGGGTGCTACGTATTTGGCGCCTCGGAGATGCCTCAGCTCACGGCGCCTCGGAGATGCCGAAGTCGGCAGGGACTTGCCGTCGCTCGGACGTCCATGTCCTGTGCATTTTTCGGTTTCGTGCGTGTTTTTTTTTGCTCGATGATCCAGGATGGTCCTCGATGGTTCGCGCCGAGAAAAAATGCACACGTCCGAGCGATGGCAAGAGGAAGGTGAGGCGGGGGGAGGAGGAAACGGAGCATCATGACCACGGGCGCGCAGCACTGCTACCACGAGAGGCTGAACACCCGGTGGGAGCGGGAGGAAAAGGCGAAGGCGGAACACGAGGGGGGGATGAGGACAATGCAGAACGTTCTGATGACGGAGATGATGGTGGTGATAATGGTTATCACAGCCTTGCTACCCGCGACCAGGACGGTTGACGATGCATATGGAAAGTTGGAGTAAGTCGAGGGGGCTCCACGGCGTAAAGCAGGCTCTGCACAACGTGTCCAACTCAACTTACGCTTCGATGCTGGAATTATCCCTCGGAGTCGGCCGCAGCCTCCAGCTGCGACCACCACTCTTCCGAAAACATCGCCCTTGGCAAATCGCCGACGTTCCTGCAAGACCTGCCGCAAGTAGACGCCTGGCAGCGTGCGGCTTGCCCACCCTGCCGATGAGCTCGCAAATCAAAAGAAGAAAAAAACGCCATTTACGTAAACTTTTGGCGCTCCGCGTGGATTTCTTGGATCTGCGCGCTCTGCGCGCCAGGGGCGGCGCCGGAGGCGCCGCCTGGGGAGGCCCAGACGCGGATCCAAGAAATCCACGCGAAGCACCAAAAGTTTATCTTGTGGCCCCATATGGAGCTCCACCGAAGGCCCCAGTGGCTGTGACCACTGGCGTCAGCGCCACCCAGTACGGCGCTCCGTGGCCCCATAAGGAGCTCCACCGAAGGCCCCACCCAGCACAACGTTTCGCTGCCTGCCCCTCGAGAACTCCACCGAAGGCCTTGGCGGCGGTGTCCACATGTGCTCCCCCGCCCAAGTCGGCATACCCTCACACGTCTCATGACCTCATGAAGAGCTCCCCCTCCTTCGTGACACCTGCCTTGCGGTACTCACAATTGCATCTGGTTGGGTCCTTCGCCTGGATTATTGTTTTAAGGGTGTTCACGACAGCTGTGGGATCACATAGCCCAATAGCATGGCAAGGTTTTGTCCTGACGTTTGGCCACATGGGCGTTTCCAGGAAGGTAGGGGTTGTTGGGGGTTTGCCGCAAGCGCCTTCGATATATCATTGCACCTTCGTCAATCTGCTTGTTCTGGCATGCTGTTGCCTTCCTTTGCCAGAAACTCCACGCTCACAATCGTTCGGCTGCCGTCGTTGGCTTCGATGTTCTTGCCTCCTTCGCACTTCTTCCTTTTCCCGCTCCTTGCCTCCAGAACGTTCTGAAGATACCAGCTGGGGTGGCTGCTCTGAAGCCCCCGTTGGAGTTGTGATGTTGGTGCTGTTTATGATAATGATTGCAACGGCAATATGATGCGACTTACCCTGATGGTGTGGAAATATGCAGGCGAGGGAGGATGACCATGAGGAGGATTACGATGCTGACCAGGATGAGGAATCTGATGACAATGATAAGGAGGAGGACGAGGAGGAGGAGGAGGGGACCAAGGGTGGGACTTGCGAAGGAGGACAATACAGGGAGGGAGGGAGGACAATGGAGGAGGGGAAGGACACTCACGGTTACGATGATGATGCTGACGATGATGATGCTGATGAAGATGATGCTGATGATGATGATGCTGATGATGATGATGCTGATTATGATTATGAGTATGATAATGATGGTGATGATGATGATGCTGATTATGATTATGAGTATAATGATGATGATGCTGATGGTGGTGATGATGATGATGATGATGATGATGATGATGATGGTGATGATGATGATGCTGATGGAGAAAAGAAGAGGAGGAAGAGGAGGAGGAAGAGGAGGGGGAGGGCAGGGAGGGTGGACTCCGGCTGGAGGAGGAGAGGAGGAAAGAAGAGGAGGGGAAGAGGAGGAGGAGGAGAGGAGGGGGAGGAGGAAGAGGAGGGGGAGGAGGAGGAGGAGGAGGAGGGGGAGGGGAGGAGAGGAGAGAGGCAGGAAGGGGAGGGGGGGAGGGGCGGAGGGTGGACTCCGGCTGCAGCGCGACTGCCGCTCCACACGCGCGCCCGAGCCAGCCTTGGCCGTGATGCGCTGGAGCTCCGCCTCGAGGCGGCCCCCTGCGGAGGTCGCCGGCATCACCTGGGGGGCTCGGTGCGTGGAGGGAGAGCAGGGAGGAGGAGGAGGAGGAGGAGGAGGAGGAGGAGGAGGAGGAGGAGGAGGAGGGGACGAGGAGGAGGAGACGAGGAGGGAGGAGAAGGAGGAGGAGGGGACGAGGAGGGAGGAGAAGGAGGAGGAGGAGGAGGAGGAGGAGGAGGGACGAGGAAGAAGGGGAGGGGGGCTCTCAGAGCAGGAAGCAGGAAGCAGGATCCAGGGGGAAGCAGGAAGGGGGAGCCAGGGGGCAGGAAGGGGAGGCAGGATCCAGGGGAGGGGGGCTCTCAGAGCAGGAAGCAGGAAGCCGGAAGCAGAAGGGGAGGGACGGAAGGGGAAGCAGGACGCAGGATCCAGAGGGCAGCAAGGGGCACGGGGGGGGGACCGAATGGGGACCCGAGCTCACGGGGGCACTCACGGGGGGGGCTGAGTGGGGACGCGGGGGGGAGTGGCTCAAGGAAGACTGGCAGTTGGGATCGGGACGGGTCAGTGGGTCCCCCCCAAGCCATGTCGACACAACCTTGGCTTTGGGACTGGAACGTGGAAAAACACACACACACACACACTATGGAGAAACACACGCACACACGCACACGCACACGCACACGCACACGCACACACACACACACACATGTGCGTTTTTTCTTGCGTTCCCCCCCCCACCACACCCCACTCACGCACACCGTTTTTTTAAATAAAAAAAAAAAACTCTTCTCGGCGAATTTCAGCGGAGCCCCTTCCGGAACGTCTTCCCCTCCTGGGGAACGGAAAGCGCTGGTGCGCGGTCCCGTTCCCGACGGCAAGGCGAGGGGAGATACGCGGGCCACAGCCGAGCAGGAGGGGAACTGCAAAAAACCTCTTGCGCCCTGCTGCGGTGAGAACGCAACTTCGCCTTCTCCCTTCCATGTGGCCGAATTTTCGCGGCGAGCGCGCGGCATGCGCCACGCCGGAACGGCACTGCCACGTTCTCGCACAATCTGCGCGGCGCTCTGGCGACGATCGCAATTCCACCGCTTTCGCGCGGCCACGCGCTGCTGCTCTCATTGAGGGGAACAGTAATCGTATTGGGACGAAGGGGCTGGGAGGATGAATGGCATGAGCAGCAGCACCCGAACGCAAGGAACGATACCTGCAGCCGCCTACGGGCAATGAGATCCTCTTTTCTCCCAGGCCCATCCTCCCAACCCCATATTATTTGAGGAATGAAAAAGCGCCCCTACCCTGGGTTACAAGTGCGTGGTCGGTAAACCTCCTGAGAGCTCCCACAGGCCAGAGAGCCGCAGAGACGCCGCGCGGCACGCGCGATGCGCAGGGTTTACCCTGTCAGCCCGCCGGGGTTCAGCGCACAGCGCCTCATAAGCCAGGGTAGGGGCGCTTTTCTTACGCCCTTGCATTCTTGTCTTCCTGACTCGGGCGAGGAGGAGGAGGAAGAGGAGGTGGAGGAGGAGGAGGAGGAGGCAGAGGAGGAGGAGGAGGAGGAGGAGGGAGGAGGAGGGGGGAGGGGGGAGGAGGGAGGAGGGACGACTCGACGAGCGAAGCATGCGCCCCGCGGGAGCGCCGCAAGCCAGGCGGCAAATCTGCGCGGAGCCTGGGCGCGGGCGAGAACGAGTCGCCCGCTCGCGCGCGGCCTCGCCCCCGAACGACTCTGCTGAGGAGGAGGAGGAGGAGGAGGAGGAGGAGGAGGAGGAGGAGGAGGAGGAGGAGGAGGAGGAGGAGAGGAGAGGGAGGAGGAGAGGAGGAGAGGGAGGGAGGAAGGAGAGGGAGGTGGAGGAGGAGGAGGAGGAGCAGGAGGAGGAGGAGGAGGAGGAGGAGGGGAGGAGGAGGAGCGTGTGGAAAAGAGGTTTGCGGTGCGCCGGTGCCGCGGCGAGAGCGACAAGGTCGCCCGCCCGCGCGTCGGTGAAGTTTACCGGGCGCAGAACTGTATAACATAAGCTGTTTCGCTGTCGGGGGGTAACCTTGCTACCTGACACTTTTAGCATGCTCTAGTCATGCAGTTTGCGGTTGTGCTCAAGTGTGTGTGTGTGTGTACATATATATATATATATATATATATATATATATATAAATGTTCCAGCCGCCCAGGGGCAGGCGCCCCCGACGGCGGAAACCATATATGTTATACATGCCTTCCCCAGCTGAGGACTGACGTGGGAGTCATGCGCGCCGCGCCCAACTGGGAGTACAGCGCTCGGGACACGTGAGCGCAGTGCCGAGGCGAGAGCGACGTGTCGCCCCGTCGCGCGCCAGGCGCGCCCCCCCCCACACATTCCTGCCGCGCGTGCTGCAACGTCGACGAGAAGACGTTCGTGCAGAACAAAAATGGCGTAGACTTCGTATTGTCGCTGTTGGGTGGGATGGAACGACCTGGTCCAGTTTGAATACATTTGAATGGAGAGAGCAAAAAGGATGAGGAGGAGGGAGCAAGAGACAGGATGAGGAGGGGGAGAAGCGAGGCCAAATGAGGGGGGGAAAAGGAAGATGAGGCGGAAAATGAAACGGACGAGGAGAAGCAGTGAACACAGGAACAGGAGGGAACGGATGATTAAAGGGAGAGAAGGGGGATCAGGACAAAAGGGGGGAATGGGATGAGGAGGGAGGGCATGAGGAGGAGGAGGAGAAGGTGGTGGAGGAGGAGGAGGAGGAGGAGGAGGAGGAGGAGGAGAGGCAACGAGAGGAGAAGGACGAGCAGGAGGGGGCGGAGAGCGCGTCGCTGGCTGTGTCCGTGGGCGGGCTACGCTGGATGGGAGCACCGCCGTCTACTGCTGCGACCACCGCCGCAGGTGTCGCTGGTGCACTACTCGATGGGGCAGTGGGAACGCAACGACTCCTCAGAATCAAGCGCGCTGCGCTCGCGCGCAGGTTCTGGACGAGCACGAAGCCGCGCTGGAACGTCACTGCGCCGGAAGCCCCGATCGTCCTCCTTCCGCTTCCCCCTCGCCCCTCTCTGGCGGCACCTCCCTCTGGGTTTTCGGGGGCGTCGTTGGGGCACCTTGGGTCGGGAGCGGCCAAGAGGGAGGTGTCCAAGAGGAGGGGGGTGCAAATCACGACCGGCGGCATGTGCGCGGCCCAGCGGGGGGGCCAGGGACGCAATGAAACAAGAAGAGGCGCCATGAATTCTGGGGACATATCATGGCCCACGCCATGATATCCACCCCCCCTGGTCATCACCCCCCTCTCGTCCGCCCCCGATTGAGGGGGCACTTGGGGGTGTTCCTCTGGAGTGCCTGCTTTGTCTCTGGGTGCGGGGGACGGGGCGCGCGTCGCGCCCTGTGTGGACTTCCGCCGTCGGCGAGGCGAGGTGCGCGGCGAGAAGTGGGACAGGGGCGCGCACCGCGGTCTGCCGTCGGACTTTGCTCGGAAAGGACGCGCGAGAGGACACGAGACCCCTCCGAGGGCCACGCTGCCACAGAAGTGCAGGAGGCATGGGTCGCAAGCAGGGAGCAAGCTACACAGCTCTGATTCGCATCGTTGGATTCAGCATGATAAGAAGCATGGATCTGCATCGTCGTCAGCTTGACACAAGACACGAAAGTACCCTCGATCTGGCAGGGTCGACCTGCCGATCCGGGCCGCCCGTGCGCTCCCGCCGAGGAGGCAGAACGCGTGGCAGCGATGGGGCGCGAAGCACGTGGCGCCGTGCGAGGCGTGGCAGGAACGAAACGCGGCGCACGTCGCGCCCCGCCTCGCCATCGCTCGGACGTCCATTCCCTGTGCTTTTTTCGGTTTCGTGCGTTTTTTTTTTCTCGCCAAGTGATCAAGGATGCTCCCCGATGGCCCTCGCCGAAGGAAAAATGCACACGTCCGAGCGATGCCAGGCCGAGGTTCGCGTCGGCGAGGCAAAACGCGCGGCAGGATTGGGGCGTGGCGCACCTCGCGCGCCACATAGCGTGGCAAGAGCGAGGCGCGGCGCCCGCGCGAGCGGGCGACCGGCCGCCCTCGCCCAGGTGGGTTCCCTGCGCAGTTCGCTCGGCAGCGGCGCTGCCGCGCGGGCGCGGCGCAGGGTGCGTTGACCGACTCGCATGCATTGGAGGCCTAGAACTGGGCACCAACACCAACACAGGGGGTTGCCTCCACAGGGGGGAGACGATCCTCGATTTCGGTGTTGGTGGCAATCTTTCGGCCACCTTGGAAGCCAGAATATTACCACCATCACCGGGATCGGGATCTTCCTCCCTCGGTGAATGCACACCGCCGATATTGGTGTTGGTGTCAATCTCTAGGCCTGCGAATGCATGCGGCAGCGGCAGCGGCAGCGGGGACGCGCGACAACGCGTTGGGTTTCGGACCCTCGCCCAGCCACCCCGCAGCTTGTAGGCAAACGCGGCAGTGCTGTGCCGCCGCGGTCCTCGGCCATTGATGCCGCCCGCGTCCCCTGCGCGGCCTGCGTCGTTGTCTAGTCGCCGAGTCGTGGGAAGCCGGACCGCGCGCGAACGCCTTCTCGTTCTCACTGGTGCGGACGCATTCCAATCCCAAGTCGGTTGCGCCGCGGGGTGCTCTGACTCGCTCGACCTGGCTAACATGCCTTATATCCTCCTGCTCTTGCTCCTGTTACGCCTTCTTCTCCTGTTCCTGTTCCTGCTACTTCTCCTCCCACCCCCTCTTGCACCTCCTCCCTCTCGTCGTCCTCCTCCTCCGCATCCTCCTCCTTCGACGGTAGGCTCAGCAATTCAACTCCTGGGTAAGCTCAGGCTGAGAGCTTCGACTTGACGGCTGATTCGCCTTTCTGTTCAACTGGATGCTCCTGCACTCCCATGATCACGGCAGCTCGCCTGGGGATCGTACCTGGGTTGACTTGTGAGGATGAGCGGAACACCGATACTTACATTGAAGAGTACGGCCCAAACCCAACTTCGACTCCTCCGCGACTGTACACGCAATGTTGCATTTGCACCGAACCAATCACTGTTAATATGCAATGGCGCCCGTGACATGAACTCAAGTGTGCTACGCTGGACTGAATAGAAGTAACACAGGCTGCAAGACATCGA